CACCCAGGACAAGCAGGTGAAGGGGTGGGACAGAAGATCACCCGGGTGATCTTCCCACCAGCCAGCCTCTCATGGGAAACGTACACTAGTCTCCCTTTTGCACTGGGAAGTAGGAGGACAGCGCTCCGAAGTGACCAGCGTGGCCCCAGCTGCGGCCCAGGCTCTGGCCGAGCCCCGTTCCCAAGTAACTATCTGGGAACGCACCTCCCGGGCAGCCTGGCGCCGGCCGGGGCTGCTGCCGGCTGAGGGACAGACCCACCTGAAGGGACCGTAGAAGCATGAAGCAAACTTGGCGCTGTAGCTCATCACTGAGACCTGCAGAGGAGGGCGGAGCCGTGAGGGCTGGAAGCTCGGTGCTGCATCCCAGCACCAGGGCAGTAGTGATTCCCTCCCACGGCTGTTTTATACTCTGCCCCACATCCTGCTTCCCCTGCCAGCGGCCTGGCACCTTGCTGTCCCCGTGTCCAGCCAAGGACATTCCCTTCCTGCGTGCACCGGGGTGCGGAAACGCCTGCGGCACATCCTGGGCGATGCAGGCGTTTGCTTCTCCCACCGCTTGCCCAGTCCCGCTGTGCTGCAGCCTCCCTGCAGATGTCACTCCTGCCTTTGGCACACGCAGATCCCGAGCTCACCTTGTTGCCCAAGTCATTGGAGATCAGCGCCTTCTTCACGGCCGCGATGCGCCCATCCATCATATCTGAGGGGGCAACGATGTGGCAGCCTGCAGGGAGAGAGCGGAGATGCTGAGCAGTGCCTGAGGCTGTGACGGTTCCTGCAGGAGGAGGTGGCCCCAGGGCAGAGGGGCCGGGGGTGCGTGCGGCTCTGTTGGGGCTGGCGCCAGGAGGGCAGGGGGAACCTCCCCCGGCTCGCAGCGAAAGCACTCCTGGTTGGAGCCAGACTGCCAAACTCGGGTACCGCTGCCAGGAGACTCCTCACCCGCTCTGGCATAGGCCAGCGCCACTTCTGCCAGCCGCAGGCAGCTGGTCTCGTTCTGGATGGTGCCATCTTCGCGCAGGATGCCTAGGAGACAAACCTGGAGTTAGGCGAGGGGCTGGCTGCCTCGATCCCTAGGTTGGAAGTGTGGCTCTTGGGACAAGCTACGGAGATGCTCTGAGCAACAGCAGGGAATGTGTTAAGGGAGCTGGGTAAGGAGGGGACCAGGAGACCGATAACACAGCACTCCAGGCACTGGACACGGCACGTGGATGCTCCAGGGAAGGGAAGACAGATGGGGACACAGATGGGTGCTCAGACGGACTCAGAAGGCCAGGGAGCGGGTGCCTGAACCACCCATGCCTCCCACCCTGCTGTCAAAGCACTGGACAGGTCTCAGGCTCAACTGCACCAGTGCTGGGGAGCCAAGTCTTGGGGCAAGAGCTGGCCAGGCCCCACCAGCATCCTGAGCTCCTCAGCAAAAATGGGAAACCCCCGAAGAATCCCAGTGCCAGGAAAATGCCCAAAGAGCAGCCCGGGACCCCAGGCTCTCACCGCAATGCCCGTGGGAGGTGTAGGGGCACAAGCAGACATCGCAGGCAATGAGCAGCTCTGGGAAGGTGGAGCGGATCTTCTTGATAGCCTGGATGGCAGGTGTGTCCTCGGCATCAGCGGCGGAGCCTGTCTCATCCTGTGGGAAGAGAAATGCCTCAGCATGCGGCGTTGAGGGTGTCCCACCAAATCCTCCCTAGCAGCAGTTCCGCCCAAGGAGCATTTTCTGAACTGCAAGACCCTGTAACGCGGGGCGGTGTCACCACCACCGATGGAAGAGGGCGACAGAGCAGTGTCTCTGAGCAGTAAGGGCAGGTCTCGGGGCCGCCCACAACAGCTCCCAGCGCAAGGCTGGGTCAGGGGGAGCCGTACGGGAGATGCCCTACCCAAGTCATCCTCCAGCGCAGGGCCGACTGCTCTCCTCTGCCTGCAGTGACCCACCACTCGTTCAAAGGGACAGAGGACAGCCAGAGTCACCAGGAGCATTTCGGGTGTCGCTGCGGTCTCCCATCCCTGCCCTGCTTGGCCGAGCGGGGTGCTGGCATGCCCAGAGACCCTGAACTGCTCCTGTGGGATCAGGAGACCCCCCGGCCCCACACTGCTCTCTCCCCCACACCCCCTGTG